TCATGATTATTTTTTGTGATAAAGAATTTTCACACAAAGAATCGATTTTGTTTATACACAAGTTTCTGTTTTATATCATATGAAGTACACAAGTTCATGAATGTACTCATGATCATGTAATTTTTTTTAAGATGGTTGACCATCTCAACTTGTATTTGGCATTTTGGCCTCGGACGGATTTGAGTACCATTATTCAGTTTTCTATATTAATTATTTGTGTGATAAAGAATTTCCACACAAGGCTCTACAAATTTAATTGACCAATCAATTTGACCGGAGTTTGACATTATGCACTCAAATGAACTTGAGTATCTTCAACGCTCATTTTAGAATTCAATGCTACTCCGGCACACTTTGTGAAAAGCAAACCACAAAAGCTTATTTAATTTGATAGAAAAAAAAAACCATTTTTACACATACTTCTCTAGACATATACTAATGCACCAGTATATATTAAATAATTATGTAACTAACTAGCTTTTAGCTGGCACTAGTGAATGATGTTTATTGTTATTGTGTCTTTTTTTTGAAATGTAATTACAATATTTTTTGGGGGATAAAGTAACCTCCCAAGAGTTATTTGGATAAAGTAAATCCCTTAATATAAGAGGATTATATGTGATTATCTCGTCAGGATATATATAACTTGAAAATATACTTTTAGTTTTTATCTTCGTAGAATCTCTAAAGAATAAGAGATTCACCGCATGCGAATATAAATTAAGTTTCATGATTGTCTACTGTTTAGAGAATAAGAACACTCTCTAATTATTGGGTTTATCCATTTTTTATTTTACTCTTTCACGAGTTTTAAAAATATGAACATTACTAATTCTAATTAGACTTTTATTCAAGTCTTACAGTTTGGTATAAATTATATTCGTTTGAGAAAATAATGCAAAAGAAAATGCATATTTAAGCAGGTTATGAGTCGAAGTGGTCATTGACTCATACAAACTTTGAAATAACTCATTTAGGTTATTAATTATTCGAATAAAGGATGATATGAGATCCAACACAATGTAAATTGTTGGTTTTAGCATTGATATATAGAAAAACAATATCAATCTTCTAAAGTATGAGAAGAAATATTTACCTTTCATTATGCCTTACAGATATAGTAGAAGGCACGTCAGTTATTTCTTAAAGTTTACTCCTTAGCAAAAATAGAATCGAGACATGTCCACATGTGCTAAGAAAATAACAATAAAGATATCTCATTTTTTCAATACAATGTGATATGTGACGACTCATCTACCAAAATGCGGGCCATTTAAGTGATTATGGTTTGGTAGAAATTTACTCATGCTGTGTAACACTTGAGATTAATTTAAGAGGATTAATAGTACTACTCATACCAACGGAGGTGCATCTCCTTTTAAGGGAGCTCATCACCCAAGAACTCCAAAGTTAAGCGTGCTTGCACGGGAGTAGTCTTGGGATGGGTGACCCCCTGGGAAGTTTCTCAGGGCGCGCATGAGTGAGGACAAAGTGCGCGGTAAAGGCTCGTGGTGGTTTGTGGGGACAGTACTAGGGGTCTAGAGTAACTACCTCGGGTCCGTGTGGGGCCCCGGGGTGTTACATGCTGTCTATTTTCCTATTGCATAAAAATGTTGCATTTGCAAAACTTCTAGCAAAACTTGTTTATTTAAGGCCCACCACCCGACCAATCAAATCTATATGACTTGTTACGGCTAGACAGTTCTCATCAAAAATACTTGATGATTATTGCATATATGTCGAGATCAATGAAAAGATCTCGCATCCCATGTGCAAAATAAGATCTCAATGAAACTCACATTTAAAAGAATATAGATGATGAATATTATATCTACTATGCGCATGTGTATATATAATTATTTTCATGGGATTATGCAATATTGCAAGCACTCCTGCACATTTTTTTTAAACCGATACTAGACAACCACATTTATGTATACCAGTTGGTGACTGGATATTAGCCTGAAATGTTCTACTTATGAATATGTGGTTGTTAAATAGTTGTGCCTATTGCGTCTCCCACAACGCATTATAATCGGTTTAAAAAGAAAAATGATGTTTATGTTGGATATGAATCCCCAACAATAATCCGCTACTAGCCTTAACAAATAATGTGTACACCGCTTTGCGGGATATGACTTTAATGAGACAATTGATTTTCCTATCATTAGGGGGAGATTAGAGAAAGAACTTATCTCTAATTGAATGATAAAATCATTATGATGGTATATCACTACTTTGTCTCAATGGTAAATCTTAGACTTCAAAATGTAACATTGAAGTTAAAGTGGTATCATAAATGATTTAAGTAATCAGATTATACACACTACCTGCAAACATATTTATAAGTTTGAATTTAAATTAAAAGAAACAATGCTAAAGGAAGAAACATTGCAATCACATGCAGTAGTGGGGTTGTGGTTGAGGCCGTGGCTCTCTAAAGGAATAGAGGGAAGCCACATGGTTCGATTAATTATCCACCCCAAGTAGTAGAGGGTAGATAAGGCACAAACCAATATACTCGTCATCATATGAATTCCTCTCATTAGATTATCTCTGATTAAATATGTCCATGAATTTATAATGGGGGATGCCCCGAAGTTTAAATGATTTCGGAGAATTAAAATCTCAATGTTAATGAGAGTGTGTATGAGTCGAATGATAGACCTTACACTTATACTGACGATATATTTATACAGTTGTTCAAAGGAGCATAGAGCACGATGATATCGAACCATACTCTATTGCAATATGAAAGCAATGAGAATATTGGCCTAAATGCGTACAAGTAATCCAGGTATAAATTTAATATTTGACAAAGAGACAGGTATTTGGTATGATAGTGCTAATCAACCAAGTGTAAAACCTGTAGGACATTAAATATTTCTTTGTTAGAAAGCGTACTGAGATAATGAGGTCCTAATTATTCTAACAACACCCTGGATTCAAATATGAAAAGTTATACCTCTCTATTTTGACCACAAAAATGTTCAACTACTTAATCTATAAGTAGACTCCAAAGTAATGGAGACGTCGCTAAAGATTGTGGACATTAAATGTCCTAATAGAATTTCATTAAATAGATGTATATGAAGTATTTGTTATGTTTTTATTATCTTTAATCAAGTGGTTTTAAATTACATTGTATATTTACATTGAAACGTTCACATTTGGATTAAATTAATCCAGACGAGAGTGACATACCCGTCTAAGTGATCACTTGACTGAAAAGGGATAGAAAACGATAGATTATGTTTTCCCTCCAAGTACCATTATATGTCAAAGATATAGACATAGTATGTACTCATATTAAAGAAAATGAGAAATCTTAGATACTTGGAAGTCATAATTGAGATAAAGGATCTTGGGAAACTCAGGTTGTTTTGAAAACACCAAGTTGGTTGAATAATAATTCACCAGTTGCATATATCCAAAAGGGTTCTCAGACAAATTAACATGGATAAATGTAAACTGTTAGCACTCCCATGATCGGTCGAAATATGGATGCTAGAAAATATATCCATTATTGGAAAATTATTGGGAGAAGGAATTTCCTATGAAAGTGCAATATGCGCATGCTTGTACTTTGACAAACACATTCGACCAAATATTACATTCTCAATAACGCGTTAGCTAAAAATAGCTCAGGACCAACACAACGTATATCGCCATTGGAATCATATCAAGAATGTACTTTGATATCTATGTCAAACCATTGGTGTAATCTCTAGTCATCCCTTTTATAAATTAATTAAATGATTGATGATAATAATATTTCTAAAGGAATCGGAAATGTCAAAAGTATCACTCTAACACAAAGTAACGTGATTTGAGTTTTACCGATGATGGATATCCCTTTACCTCATTGATACTTTCTTAAATGAGTATATATCTACCATGAAAGAAACCAAGATGTTATATACGGAATAACTTGATAAAACTATATATCAAGTACATATCGAATTCTTATTGATGTGTTGCATTCAGGGGGAGTCCTTACATACTTATTTATCATCAGTTATATTGGTGCGTTGTACTCTTTTTCTTTTCTCCCTTTTGACCAAGGTTTATTTTTTCCCATTGGGTTTTGTTACTTGGTAAAGTTTTTTTTATGAGACAACACAATATGCACCATCCAACATTTTAATTTTGCGAAAGTAAACAATGTTGAAGAAAGAGCATAATTACTATATCTCAGTCAAAAGTAATTGACGTGTAGGTTTTAGTGCACCATACTCCCTTTTCACTTTGACCGATGTTAATTTTTCCCATTGGGTTTTGTTCATTGGCAACGTTTTTGCAAGTTAATTTGGGAAAATTCCCTACGCTTGACACACAGGGGGAGAATTAAAGGAATTATATTCCTCTGTTGTGTGCCTTCGCTAAGGTAATTGATGTGACAAGTATTGAAATGCACATATTTTACTAACACCCTTGATCAATGTAAATATTAAGGGTAGATGTAGACTTGAGGGGGAGTACCCCGACTAGATTACATTACACTCTTTTCCTTTAACCAAGTTTTATTTTTTCTCACCGGATTTTGTTACTTGGTAAGGTTTTTATTGAGGTAACGATACATATAAACTTTAATGATCAAAGCAAAGATCAAATAAAGATAGACTTAATGAAAGAAGCCTATCTTGATGTTATACTCCTTTTTCTTCAGTCAAGATTATTTTTTGCCCACAGGGTTTTTGTTACTTGACAGAGTTTTGACGAGCCAATAAGACTGATACCAAATTCTATCTACAACTCAGCACAAGGGAGAGTGTTGAAGGAAATTCTGTGTAGTGTGCTATCGTGTATATAGAATATGTATTAGGATCATTCTATGTAAACTATCTATTATATGGACCCATTGGCCCATCTATGTAAACCCTAATATCTCTCTATTTATAGGGCCTTTGATAATGAAACTATACACTCAGTTCTCCCGACAGATAAGTAGTACTCTGTATTTTAAAGAAGAGGATAAATAACGACACTGATGGAAAGACCAACAGTTTGGTACCAAACTAAAATGGTAAAAAGGAGTTTCTGACTAAAATAAGAGAAGATTTTTTTTCTTTCAAAAAACAAGAAATAGATGAAGATCCAGTGCGATGTTTGTGAGAAGGAAGAGGCAACTTTCTTCTGCTCAGCGGACGAAGCGGCCCTTTGCGGAGCCTGCGACGGCCACGTTCACGAAGCTAATCTTGTCGCCGGAAAACACCTCCGCTTCACCCTTCTCTACCACGCCCACCACCTTCCTCCTCCTTCGCAGCAGGTCTGCGACATTTGTAAGGACAAAAGGGCATTGCTGTTCTGCAAAGAAGAGCGGGCAGTCCTCTGCGGCGGCTGTGATCTTCAAATTCACACCGCCAATGAGCGAACCCAGAAACACAGCCGGTTTCTTTTGACCGGGATCAAGCTCTCTGCTTCTAATGCATCTCCGGCGACCACCGGAGATCACCCGGACGCTGCTACGAGATCGTCAGCGTCGGATGTCGTTGTGTCGGAGGTGGACCAAAGCGGCGAGGGGTCGGTGGTTCCCGGCGGTGCGAGTAGCATATCGGAGTACCTGCTCGAGACCATCCCCGGATGGCACGTTCAAGATTTTCTTGAATATGAATTTTGTAAGCCTTAAGTAATTTACTTCTCTGCTCTACACGTCTTTAATTTGATTACTTTCACTTTGAGATTAAATCATATCAAACTAAATCATATAAAGGTTAGATATCACATGCTTCCTGAAAAGTTTCATCAAATTGACTTTTCTTATTTAAAGATTGAGAAATTCGGACAATGATTTAAATTACTATATTTGCACATAATTTATAAACTTCATACTTTTATTAAAGTTTTTTAATAAGCAACATTTTGATATAATTTTCATATTCAAAATAATTTCATATATAAAATATCATTAGTCAAAGTCAATTGTCATTGATCAAGAAAAGTCAATTTGACAAACCTTTTCGGGACGGGAGTATTTACTAAATCAAATTTAAATAAATCACAAAAAATTAGAGTGTCCTAATTGAGTTTTTGTGTGTAAGACTTCTCAATTTTGACCTCTTTTGGTAAGTCATCTCATACCTAACATGTACAAAAGACAAAACTTATACTAATCCTGCAAAATAAAAATATAATTCAGCAACTATTAGTGACTATAATTATGTTCAAAACTTAATTATCATGTTATTTGTAACCATATGAACCTATTATGTGTACTTTGAATCTATGATGTTATTGATGTATACTTTGAACACGTACAATTTCAGTAACAAATACTTACTGCTTTACATTTTTATCCATAATTTTTTAAAGAGAAACCTCTCAAACTAAGAGTAAATTAAGAGTAAGTCAGCCCCCAGAATCGTAAATACGTACGGAGTATATAAGATTTTAATAAATTTGCTTGGGGAACAAAATTAAGTACGAAATTATTTGACACCATTCAATAGGTGAAAGAAGAGGCTATTAAAAGAAAAACTAAAATTGAATTTATCCGACAAATAATGTCATATATGTGAGTTGCTAGCAAAACTGTCTAAATTACGAGCGTAAAAGAGCAAATTATACTACGTACAAATAAAACATCCTCCGTATTATGTTAAACATTTTCACAAACCTAAAAAAATGAACGTATGAAGTATGAACTCCTAACCACTACAAAAAAAATGACGGGAATGGCACGGATTTGGCACAAATTTTCCGATAATTTCATGCCAAATAGCTCGTGTCGAACTGTTTTTGGCACACATTTGGCATATCCCTGACAAAATCTCTGCCAAATTCAGAAAATCCCTGCCAAAAATTCCTTTCAATCCCGTGTTTTTTTTGCAGTGAACGGGTTGTACCCCAACCAAATATTTAATTTAATGATTGACATAATCATTCTATGTATTGTCATATTGACAAATCATTTATTTGGTTGACCCCTCAACCAAAACCTGATAGCAACCTATTATACGTAGTACTATCCTATATAGGTGATCATAGTTTATCAATTGGGAAGAATGTATTTGTACACATAAGTTGTAGACAGTCTCCTAATTATCTGTGTACAAATGTAACTTGTTTAAAAACTATTGTGTACACTATCATCTATGAAATGTATGTGACACGATTTGATGATAGTTTACATATTTAATTTCTTATAGTAATTCATGTAGTAATTTTATTTTTTGGTGAATGAAGTATTTAACTTTTTTGACGATTTTTTTTATCTTACATTAGCTACTTTTAATATTCACTTGCATGGTATTTCATATTCTCTCATAATTTAACACTTTTTTACACGCATTATTACTACTCATCTATTCATCATCTATATCTTGCATACTTTTTTTAATATTAGTGAAAAAAACTATAACTCCAAATAAAAATTGGGAGTATTTATGATACTACGGTCTACGTACAACTTATAGTCTGTTATTTCATATGTAGATACGGGAGCGTTAAACGCGTGATACACTTCAAATCTTGAATCTTTTTTGTTTCAGTACATGTCTTTTCTTACATGTCACGAAGGTAATTTTATACTACTTCCTTAACTCTAGAATCTTCCCAATTTGACTCTTTGAGGTTAAATTTTATAAACTTTGACTATTAATTATTCAAAACTCACATTATGTTATGATTAAAAAATTATTTCATATACCTCATTCTAAAACATATTATTTGAATGTTAATTTATTATGAATTTTATAAATATAGATACGTAGATATTTAGAATCAAAGTTCAACTTAGAAGACCGTGAAAAGTCAAAATGGGAAGATCTTTGTGTTACGGAGGTAGTACTGTACATAATTTTAAAAAATTTAATTTTTAATGAATTGTCTATATACATAGATAACCAGGGAATCTGTACAAAAATGTATATAAATGTATACAAAATGTATAAATATGTATACTACTGGGATATCGAGAGCATAACTCACCTGATAGGAAGTTAGTGCCACACGAGAGAGGTCGCATGCTCAACTCAAATAACGATTTGAGATGAAATCTCATTCTTTTTTCATGTGATTAAAGCTCATCTTATATTCTCCCAAATAACTGTCTCATCAGTTATTAAAGTACTCAAGAATGAGGTGTCATCATTTTTTATATAAACGGGAATGGTTTTTCTTACATTTATTGAAAATTGGCCGGCGGTATTGTAATGCAGAGTTGATGGGCGAACTGCAAAGTAAGGTAATACGGAGTATATGATGCAAGTACGTCAAGAATTACAAGCATGGGTTGTCCTCATTAATACTTTTTGGGACAGCGACACAATTAAGGTGGTAGCAATTCAACAAGATTCATTCGATCTTCAATCATATGATGCATGCACACCGATTAATGGCGTCGGCTGAAAAATAGTACGTAGTATATGTAATGTAATTTTTTCTTACTAGTATTTTGTTAGAATCTCGCATCGGAAAAGTTTGAATCAACAAAATACTATATTAAGACATATGTTATGTTTGACACAACTAGCTGAAAAGACACTTTTGTGAGCTTTTTAATAACTATTAGCTTTTAATGACTGAAAATATCTTAAAAAGAAAAGGTGGTAGCTGTTTGGTAAAAAGTTGACTGTTTGATTTAGTTCGGTTTGATATACAAGCTGTTAGGATTAATTAATACTAAAACTCACGGGCTTTTCTCAGATGCTACTCCCTGTAGAATCTCAAAAAAGATCTTTTGATTTTTGAAAAGCTCTTAAAAATTGTCATGCCAAACATACACGTCAAAGCTTTTAGAGACTTTTTGAATAGTACAAAAGCTAGAAGACAGAGACTTATGTCTGCCAAACATAGCTACAAGCTACTTCTCCCATCAGGTTGACCTTTTAGGATGGAACCTCGGGTCTTAACATGGTATCAGAGCCAAACCGATCAATAACCATGGTGTGACCCCCTTATGAAAAATGACGACACAATTAAAAAATCATAATGACAAACCGACGAAAAAAATGATTGACGACACGATCCAGACGAAGTGTCTGGTCGTGAGGAGGGGTGTTAGAATATCACACCGGAAAAGTTTGAATCAACAAAGTACTATATTAAGACATAAGTTATTCCTCCTATCAGGTTGATCTTTTAGGATGAAACTCCAGATCTTAACATTTTTTTTATTAGTGTGAACATTTTCGTTTTCCCAATTTGAAGTGTTCCACTTTCTTGAAATGTGTATAATCACCGTAGCCCGTTTGGTGAGCCTAGTTTTCGGCTTATCAAGCTTATCAATCAACTTTTTTACCAAGCATTTAACTTTTGATTTAGCGTGCTGAATAGTGTAATAATAAGAAAAAAAAGTAAGATTGAAGTTACTTTTCTGGCCGTATTGGCTGAAGTTACTGTAGAGAATCATTTTAGCTATTTTTTAATATAATTTTTTCTTTATTTTATTAATAGAATATATTTTATATATTTTTTTTTTCATAAATCAGCAGAATCACCGAATGCAGCCACTTCAACCAGAATTTCATAAATATCAGCAGAAACAAGCGATTCAACCGATTTCAGTGTTACCAAACAGGCTCCTAATCAGCTCACTTGAACTTCAAGATCTAGATCAGTTCCTACAAGCCCATGACCGGTTAAAGGTTCGGAAATGGATTCAACGTCTCTGTCTTGCTTTGACAATGAAAACCCAATTGTAGAAAATGATCGAAGGGGTTTACTTTTTTCACGAATCTTAATATCCTCCTTTCGATCATTATCATTGGTGAGCGCAAGGCACTCTGTTTTAAAGTGTAGGATCCAAAATAGTGGCGGAACCAGAAATGGCAGGTTAGGAGATCGGGCTTAAAGAATTTATATTGAGGAACCTAAATTTAGAATTTCACTATACGGAGTATATTTTAGTGCTTATAATTATTTATACATGCATATATATATTAGAAAATTTTCGTCCGATGTCCCCTCCAGCCTTCCCTTTCTCCACCCAGATCCCAAACCCCCCGCAGTTCCGATCCAAGGAGTACATATGGCCAATTTGGATTGTGCTTAATTTTATTCCAAATCAGGAGCCATTGTAAGTTTGTAACAATACAATGCTACACCAAACCCGGCCATTTTGGTGATTTATATACTTTTTATGTTATTACTTCTTTTTGTCCTTTATACTTTTTATGTTATTACTACCTGTCTACTCGATCGTATTATTACGAGACGTGAGTCGATCCGTGAGCGGTATATATAAATATAAAAACATGAAAGTTATGTAGTTGATACGGAGTATTAATTAATGGTCGAAAAGAAAGATGAATTTTTGAGTTAAAAATTTTTCAAAAAATAAGTGATTAAATATAAGATTGAAAAGGAGTACATGATCCGTTAGTTTTATGATTTTTTCTAGGGGTGGGCATAAAACTCGAACCGAACCGGTACCCAACCGTCCCGTAATGGTACCGAACCGAATACTGGATATTTAAACGGTTCTATAGATTTTTATCCCGTACCGAAACCGTACCGTTTGAAACGGGTACGAGAGCGGTCTACTAATTGTGTATTTGTGAATTTTAGTACTATGTATGCAATTTCTTGTATTTATTTCAACATTTCATGTGAGTTGGTTGGTATGATGATATCTACTAATTGCAAGATTTGTTCAAAAAATTTAGCATGTGTTTGGCATTGTACCATACCGTTTTGTACCGTTCCGAAACAACATGGTATCGAACGGTTCTATCCTTGAAACCGGACCGTACCGGACCGTTAAAAAGCTCACGGATACATTACAGGTTTTTACCAATTTACCGGACCATTCCGGACCACGCACACCCCTAATTTTTTCTCCTAACCTAGCTTTGCAAAAACGTAACATGTCCAGCTATCAACCAAACTTTGGAATCAATGCGACTTGTAGGGGCGAAAGTAGACCGAGTGGCCCTTCCCCATTTACCACTAGACAACACTCACTCACAACTTGTACTTTGTATTCATAATGGAAATGTACGTGTTTTCCCAATTTGTTTTGTGTGGTGACCATGTTAAATAAAGGGATATTTTCAAAAACATGAGAAAATTTTAAGAACGTGAATATTGTGTTTTCTATTTTCTAAATAGAAGTAGTTACCGTCAAGTTTGAAAAATATTATCATATCCAGTGGAGGACCTAAGGGAGGGCTAAGTGGGGCATGTACCCCGCTTCGGGACCGAAAATTCACTAGTATCACTTAAGGTAAAACCAGTGTCCCCTCTTCGGACCCGAAGTTTTTATTATAGACTAAATTTAGTGTCTAGTATGTCCCCGCTTTCACAAATTTCTGGGTCCGCCACTGATCATATCTAAATCTTGTTAGTATCTAAACATGAAAGTATTTACTCATATTCAGGGGCGGCCTTGGGTGGGGGGCAGGGTATATAGGCCCAAAAAAGTGAAAAAAATTAATGCCCATAATTTTTTCTTTATATTAGGTTTGAGTAGGCTAAGTTTTTAGAGTTAAACTACGACTTCTATCCGGCCCAACAACTCAAATGCCCAAGAATACGGAAGCTCTTTGCGGCTAATTGAATCCGTCTTCAAACTCAGCATTGGAGTTACGTAACAGACTAACAGGCTCGCCACCTCAACACCTAGTTGGACTGCCATAGTAGCCCCCTCTGTGCAAATTACCATCAAGCAAAACTGCAAAAGCCAGAAGCAATTCAACCAATCGGCCTTCACATATTCAAGTGAGAGCAACTTCCTTCCTTGAATGTTATTCCATAATTTTGTATTTCAATTGATTAGTTTATACTTTTTATCGATTTCACTCTTTAATATTTATAAATACTTGAAAAATAAGTAAAAAAAACTAGTTGATTTCAGTGAATACGTGATTTGTAGGTTGTCGAGTATTGTGATTTATTGATTGATTTTGTTAGGTAAAAGTTTCAATTATAATTAAATTTATAAATTTAATTAATTTCCAGGTGTAATAAATATGAGTGAATCTTGATGAGAGAAAAAGAAAAAGAGGCAAAGATTAGATAAAGCAGCCCCAAGCCAAAAAAGTTCAATGGAAAAGTTTGTTTGTGTGAATAAGTCAAATCCTGAATGTGCTCCTTCGGATGAGAACTTAGTGGAGATGAATGATTCAACTACCGAAAATGAAGTGATTCAGAATGATCATGTCATGACAGGAGAACATTTAGGAGTTGATAATACTGGCAGTGAGCAACCAAACAATAATTTGGATGGATCAAATGTATCAACTTTAATTACTCGTTCTTTGATTTTGGATATATACAATCCTGCTGATTGGGGGAATCTAGATGGCAAAACAAGAGATATTGTAATTGAAAAAGGTCCTATAAGAGAAACACAACTCAATTATCCTCTTGATGCTAAGTCTAGACATTTCTCAAATGCCTACTACACTAGAAACATGAAAAATAAGGAACGTGAAGATAGACCGTGGTTGGTGTACTCAAAGAAAGTGGATAAAGTGTTTTGTTTTTGTTGCAAGTTGTTGAAAACAAAACACGGGCCTAATCTTTTAGCCAATGAAGGATTCAATGATTGGAAACGTTTGAGTGAGAAACTTTCTAGTCATGAAAAAAGTTTTCAACATTTTGGTAATGTGCAAAAATGTATTGATACAAAGATGAGATTGGCAAAAGCAAAAACAATTGATTTTTCCATTCAAGAAAAACTTGCCAAAGAGAAGAAGCATTGGAGAGATGTTCTTAAGAGAATAATTGAATTGCTTTAGTTAAGACTCTTGCAAAAAATTCCATTGCCTTTCATGGAATGTCTGAAAAATTATACGAGGACAACCATGGATTTTTTTAAGCAATCATTGAGATGCTTGCTGAGTTTGATCTCGTTATGCAAGAGCATGTGAGACGTATTCAATTTAAGGAGATTCATTATCATTATCTTAGTCACAAAATTCAAAATGAATTGATTTTGAAACTAGCATTGGGTGTTAAAAGGACAATTATCTCACAGATCAAGGCTGCTAAATATTTTTCAATCATTCTTGATTGCACACCTGATTCCGATCACAAAGAGCAAGAATTTGATTGTAAGGTGTGTGGATATGTCATCAAACAAACCTCAAGTTTTTGAAATTTTCTTAGAGTTTATCATAGTGCTTGATACATCTGGATTAGGGCTCTTTGCTGAATTAGAGGGTATTTTGGCTTTATGCGAACATGACATTGATGATGTATGTGGACAAGGATATGATAATGGCTCTAACATGAAAGGTAAGCACCAAGGTGTTCAAAGAAGATTACTTGACA